AAGGCTCAGGATGCTGATATTTAGTTAGTAGCATATGCTGGGATCAAGGACTACTATGTTTGTTAAAGTGAATGACTTTGACTTATATTCAAGGTCACAGGGGTCAAATTTGTTTAAAATCTTTAAGCAACCTCTTATGAATAACCATGGGTCCCAGGATGTTATATACTTTGCAAGTTGCATCCGGAGATGAAAGACTATACAATGTGTTCAACATAATGACTTTGTTCGACTTTCAATCACAGGGGTGAAATGTTTTAAAAAAAATTAACAGGGTCTTTTGCCTGTAGCTTTATTTTAGATCACTTTTAAGGTTACAAGTGTGAGTTTTATACCAGGTGAGCGATGCAGGCCCATTGGGCCTCTTGTTTGTAATGCTAGAATGTTGTTCAGAGATACAGTCAGGAATGTTTACATCTGCTGCAAAAAAACAAGGTGAAACATATGATATGCACAAAAATATGCAAAAGATCAAAGCTCTGAAACTGAACTGCACTGAATTCTCATCATCATGAATATTAATCAGGACCTCAGATGGTAGCCCCTAGATGGGCTCAAATGTTGAGTGATTTTTTATATTAGTAAAAAATCTTCAAACAACATGCAACCCCTCTGAAACTTAAAGACAGATTTAAAAACCAGACAAGACCTCTGGTGTTTTTTTAAGTAACATGTACATCTACACATGTGTATTATTCAGAATTTCACTCATGATCAAATAGGCTTGCTTGTGTTTTTTCTGATTTCTAGTACTATAATGGTTACTTCCCTTTACCCAGCATTTACCTGATGATTCTAATGTGTTGGGAATCATAGAGTTATGATATAGTGGTATTGGGTGGCTGTGTTGTGAGATATAGAGTTATGATAAATAGTGGTATTGTAGGGCTGTGTTGTGAGATATATAGTTATGATAAATAGTGTTATTGGATGGCTGTGGTGTGAGATATAGAGTGATGATATATAGTGGTATTGTATTGCTGTGTTGTGAGATATATAGTTATGATAAATAGTGTTATTGGATGGCTGTGTTGTGGGATTATGATAAATAGCATTGTTGGATGGCTGTGTTGTGAGATATATAGTTATGATAAATAGTGTTATTGGATGGCTGTGGTGTGAGATATAGAGTTATAATAAATAGTGGTATTGTATGGCTGTGTTGTGAGATTATGATAAATAGCATTATTGGATGGCTGTGTTGTGAGATATAGAGTTATGATAAATAGTGGCATTGTATGGCTGTGTTGTGAGATTATGATAAATAGTGGTATTTTATGGCTGTGTTGTGAGATTATGATAAAGAGTGGTATTGGTTGACTGTGTTGTGAGATTATGATAAATAGTGGTATTTTATGGCTGTGTTGTGAGATTATGATAAAGAGTGGTATTGGATGGCTGTGTTGTGAGATTATGATAAATAGTGGTATTTTATGGCTGTGTTGTGAGATTATGATAAATAGCATTATTGGATGGCTGTGTTGTGAGATATAGAGTTATAATAAATAGAGGTATTGTATGGCTGTGTTGTGAGATTATGATAAATAGCATTATTGGATGGCTGTGTTGTGAGATATAGAGTTATGATAAATAGTGGCATTGTATGGCTGTGTTGTGAGATATAGAGTTATGATAAATAGTGGTATTGTATGTCTGTGTTGTGAGATATAGAGTTATAATAAATAGTGGTATTTTATGGCTGTGTTGTGAGATTATGATAAATAGCATTATTGGATGGCTGTGGTGTGAGATATAGAGTTATGATAAATAGTGGTATTGTATGTCTGTGTTGTGAGATATAGAGTTATAATAAATAGTGGTATTGTATGGTTGTGTTGTGAGATATAGAGTTATAATAAATAGAGGTATTGTATGGCTGTGTTGTGAGATTATGATAAAGAGGGGTATTGGTTGACTGTGTTGTGAGATTATGATAAATAGTGGTATTGTATGGCTGTGTTGTGAGATATAGAGTTATGAAAAATAGTGGTAATGTATGGAAATAGTGGTATTGGATGGCTGTGTTGTGAGATATAGAGTTATAATAAATAGAGGTATTGTATGGCTGTGTTGTGAGATTATGATAAAGAGTGGTATTGGATGGTTGTGTTGTGAGATTATGATAAATAGTGGTATTTTATGGCTGTGTTGTGAGATTATGATAAATAGCATTATTGGATGGCTGTGGTGTGAGATATAGAGTTATGATAAATAGTGGTATTGTATGTCTGTGTTGTGAGATATAGAGTTATAATAAATAGTGGTATTTTATGGCTGTGTTGTGAGATTATGATAAATAGCATTATTGGATGGCTGTGGTGTGAGATATAGAGTTATGATAAATAGTGGTATTGTATGGCTGTGTAGTGGGATTATGATAAATAGTGGTATTGGATGGCTGTGTTGTGAGATATAGAGTTATGATAAATAGTGGTATTGTATGGCTGTGTTGTGAGATTATGATAAATAGCATTATTGGATGGCTGTGGTGTGAGATATAGAGTTATGATAAATAGTGGTATTGTATGGCTGTGTAGTGGGATTATGATAAATAGTGGTATTGGATGGCTGTGTTGTGAGATTATGATAAATAGTGGTATTGTATGGCTGTGTAGTGAGATTATGATAAATAGTGGTATTGGATGGCTGTGTTGTGAGATTATGATAAATAGTGGTATTGGATGGCTGTGTTGTGAGATTATGATAAATAGTGGTATTGTATGGCTGTGTTGTAGACTTTTGGCTGTGTTGTGAGATTATGATAAATAGCATTATTGGATGGCTGTGGTGTGAGATATAGAGTTATGATAAATAGTGGTATTGTATGTCTGTGTTGTGAGATATAGAGTTATAATAAATAGTGGTATTGTATTGCTGTGTTGTGAGATTATGATAAATAGCATTATTGGATGGCTGTGTTGTGAGATATAGAGTTATGATAAATAGTGGCATTGTATGGCTGTGTTGTGAGATTATGATAAAGAGGGGTATTGGTTGACTGTGTTGTGAGATTATGATAAATAGTGGTATTGTATGGCTGTGTTGTGAGATATAGAGTTATAATAAATAGAGGTATTGTATGGCTGTGTTGTGAGATTATGATAAATAGTGGTATTGGATGGCTGTGTTGTGAGATTATGATAAATAGTGGTATTTTATGGCTGTGTTGTGAGATTATGATAAATAGTGGTATTTTATGGCTGTGTTGTGAGATTATGATAAAGAGTGGTATTGGTTGACTGTGTTGTGAGATTATGATAAATAGTGGTATTTTATGGCTGTGTTGTGAGATTATGATAAAGAGTGGTATTGGTTGACTGTGTTGTGAGATTATGATAAATAGTGGTATTTTATGGCTGTGTTGTGAGATTATGATAAAGAGGGGTATTGGTTGACTGTGTTGTGAGATTATGATAAATAGTGGTATTTTATGGCTGTGTTGTGAGATTATGATAAATAGTGGTATTGTATGGCTGTGTTGTGAGATATAGAGTTATGAAAAATAGTGGTAATGTATGGCTGTGTTGTGAGATTATGATAAAGAGTGGTATTGGTTGACTGTGTTGTGAGATTATGATAAATAGTGGTATTGGATTGGATTAGATGTAAAATTTGACCTTGACCTTTGAACCTAATGACCTTGACCTTTGACCTCAACTTTTTACCTCAGTGTGTCTCTTTGTTTAATTTTGAATTGTATGGCTGTGTCGTATTGTATGGCTGTGTTGTGAGATTATGATAAATAGTGGTATTGTATGGCTGTGTTGTGAGATATAGAGTTATGATAAATAGTGGTATTGTATGGCTGTGTTGTGAGATTATGATAAAGAGTGGTATTGGATGGTTGTGTTGTGAGATTATGATAAATAGTGGTATTGGATGGCTGTGTTGTGAGATATAGAGTTATGATAAATAGTGGTATTTTATGGCTGTGTTGTGAGATTATGATAAATAGTGGTATTGGATGGCTGTGTTGTGAGATTATGATAAATAGTGGTATTTTATGGCTGTGTTGTGAGATTATGATAAATAGTGGTATTGGATGGCTGTGTTGTGAGATTATGATAAATAGTGGTATTTTATGGCTGTGTTGTGAGATTATGATAAATAGTGGTATTGGATGGCTGTGTTGTGAGATTATGATAAATAGTGGTATTTTATGGCTGTGTTGTGAGATTATGATAAATAGTGGTATTGGATGGCTGTGTTGTGAGATTATGATAAATAGTGGTATTTTATGGCTGTGTTGTGAGATTATGATAAATAGTGGTATTGGATGGCTGTGTTGTGAGATTATGATAAATAGTGGTATTTTATGGCTGTGTTGTGAGATTATGATAAATAGTGGTATTGGATGGCTGTGTTGTGACTCAATGTAGATTTTAGGTATGATCTGATGATAACATCACAATATGATCTGGCATCACAATGGGGATGCAAAATCTTTGAAAAGGACATGTTTTGTATCTTCTGAAAGGTAATTCATAACACTTCCCCAGTCATGCATAATGATCTCTTTTTCAGATACCAAAAAAATAAGACTCGGTATTCGTTTATACGGGATAGGATGAATTTTAATTAAAAAGGATTAAATTTCATTCTTGTATTAAAGCAATTTTAACAATGTTTCTTTTTAATTAATGTCACACAAATCTTGGGTGCCTTTTCACAGTGAAGCCAGCCATACATAAATTCAACATTTATTGCTGGAGCCTGTATAGCATTAATGGAAACTGTGACCTATTCTCTGGGTTAAATCATCATTATCTTATTTCAAGATTATCACTGAGATTGTTCTGACAGCATTTAAGTTAGGTCTGTCCCAAATACCACATAACTTTTTTAAGATTTAAGAAGTTAATCATCAGAGCTGGTGTGGATGTGACATCCTTCCCATTGTGTACTGCTGGCAATGGCACAGGGAAACAACAGAGCCGATATCTTACAGTCAAAATGGCTTCTGGTTCAAATGTACTTGTCAAGTGTTGAAGGGAAAGATTTTTCCTCAGGAACAAAGTCTGGAGATAATTGTGATGATGGCATTGCCAATGGTAACTATGTGAAATGGTGGGAGTTTTAAGAGTTTTGATTATCAGCCTCGCTAAATGTTTCTGTCAGGTCTTCACTAACATCATTCTTTATAATTCTGTTATGTACTGCAATTTGTATTATTTCATAGTTGTACTATTTTTGCATTAACAGATGCTTTGTATTAAGAAAGAAAGTGCATGTTGACTACGATTCCATTAAGCCTACTTTGTTTTACAAAACGTTTCAAAATCAAGGTATACCTTTCTATGTAACTGAATACATTTTTCCTCCAATGAGATCTGCTGTGTCAGGTGTCAGTGACAGTAGGATATCAATAGCTACTTATAGGTATCATATTAAGGATCCCTGTCCCACTACAGTCAAAATATTAGAGATTCCACTGGTTTTTGTGTCGCCTGCAATGTGAGGCAACATATAGGTATTACTTTGTTGGTGTCCGTGGCGGCGGTTTTTCTGTCGAGTTTCAACTTTCCGCATTTTACCGTATCACACTTGACATAGCAACACTGTACTTCATTTTTGGTGTTAACTTTTTTTCCTTAAATTGTTTTCATAAAATCTGTTTCCGTGCCATAACTTGAGTTTCTTTAGGTTGATCAAGCTCAGACTTCATACAGTGCTTTCTTACCAATAGTGCTTACTTGGGATTTCAGGTATGTAAGTCAAAGGTCAAGGTCACCGTTACTATTAATAGAAAATCTGTTTCCATGCAATAACTCAAGTTTCATACAGTGCTTCCTTACCAATAGTGCTTTCTTGGGATTGGTTTTCAGGTCCGAAGGTCAAAGGTAAAGGTCACTGTTACTAGAAATAGAAACTCTGTTTCTGTGCAATAGCTTGAGTTCCTTAGGGATGATTGAACTCAATCTTGATGCAGTGCTTCCTTACTAAAAGTGCTTGCTTGGGATTGCTCAGAGTTGGCTGCGCAGGTGACACGCCCACTCCTGTACAATTCTTGTTCGTATGTATACATGTAGTAGCCTCCCCTTAATTTAGTTTCAGACATTATAACTGTTATTGACCATGATGCTCAGTTAGTTAGAGCGACTTCGTATGATATTCTGATCGTGAGGTCCAGGGTTTGAAATCCTGGGCTAGCCCTGCTAAAGTTTTACACCAAGCAGCACTGTTGCTGATTATATTTTATTCATTTCACCTTTATCATGTTTTCGTGGTACTGGTTTATTTTCAGAAATGATTTATATTTCTAATTATTCAATTCTAATATTTTTATCTATATCTAAAAAAACATTTGTGGAGGGGTGCTTCATTAACTACAGGCTGTTTATTGATGTTGTCTGTCACAGTCCGTACAAGTGAAATGAAGCACCTAAATATTCCTGTCACACTCCACACAATACCATTATAAGTTGATTTTCCCCTCCAGGAGGTGACTTGTCCAAGGGTGAAATGTCATGGCATAGTGATGTCCGACTGACTTTTCCACACAAGGATGATATACCAATGTCAAGATCAAGTTCCTGGTCACATACGTGTAGCGCATCCTCTGGTATGTCTGACCTGGCATCCACAGTAGCCAGACAGAGCTCAAGGGAGAGCTCGAGGGGGAGCTCAAGGGGGAGTTCAAGGGGGAGCTCCAGTGATGCCTCAGACTCCAACATGCCGGACACACAGAAGCTGCTGGGTGAGTTGAACTATGTCTTTTCCTGAACAATATGTCTAGACTACTGGGGTGATGTGATAAAAGGCTCAGCTAGGTTTGTGCAGGCAGCAGTATGATGTATAGTATTGTTTTATAGAAAGGTGAATGGTCCATCCTTTGTCTGTCCTTAAATCATTCTTGCTACCTCTTAATCTTAAGGTACTGGATGTAGCTTTCTCAAATTTAATATGAAGGCTCCCTTTGGTCTGTAATTGTGCATGTTTCATTTACAACTCATCATCTGGAGCATTCTAATAGAGTGACTGATACCGCACTATCCTGGATACAGTCTTATCTGAGTGAACGACGACAGTGTGTTGCCATCGGATCTACCATCTCACATGACAAAGTACTAGATTTCGGGGTTCCTCAAGGGTCAGTGTTAGGACAGTGTTGCCTGTACTCCAAACTGATCAGAGAGATTTGTTGTTGCCATCATTGCTATGCTGATGACACACAAATTTAGATGGTCATCAAACTACAGGACAGTTTGGATATAATTTTAGAAAGTCTGGAAGCTTGTCTGACAGATATCAGTACCTGGATGAACACCAACATGCTAAAGCTTAATTAGGTAAAGACGGAACTAATAATCGTCTTTTCCTCAAAGTGTCAGCAAACATTGGCTGTCCAGCTCAAGGTCGGTGCCAGAACTATTGAGACTGTCCCAGCTGTTAAAAACCTAGGGGTATACTTTAATAGTTCACTGAACATGGAGAAACAAGTGAACGCTATTGCCATATCCTGTTACTACCAGATCAGGAACATCGTCTGTATCCGGCAGTTTATAACTGCAGATGCATGCAAGATTTTGGTGCATTCACTTGTTACCTCTCTGTTGGATTATGGTAAAGCCCTGCTCTGTGGTATATCTGACAAACTAACTAGTCGTCTGCAGAGGGTCCAGAACACTACAGCATGGCTGGTTACTCGTACTCGAAAGAGAGAGCACATCTCACCTGTGCTATATTCATTGCACTGGTTACCTGTACGATACAGGTCGCATTACAAAACTTTGGTGTACACATACAAGGCACTGAATAGAACAGCTCCCCAGTACCGACAGGAGCTTGTTACCCTGTATCAGCCATCACGATTACTGCAGTCAGAGTCAGAATCATTGTTGTGTGTCTTAAAAACTCGTACTGTGACCTATATGGAAACCGGTGCTTTGGGAGGGTTTTGGCAACGTTGTGGAATAGCTTACCATCTGCTATTAGAAAGTCAAATACCCTGGCCAAATTCAAGCAGGACATCAAAACTCACCTCTTCACGTCTGCATTTTAGACTATTTGCACAGACGTCATGTAAATACCACCCTGTATTTATTCATTTATGTACACATTGAGATGATTATAATCTTATTGCTTAATGTATAATGGTGATTGTAAGCCATTTTTGTTTCACAATTATAACTAATCCATATGTTGTAAAGCGCTTTAGAGTAATTTTACAAATTATATAGGGCACTATATAAATGTTGTATATTATCATCATTATTATTATTAAAACAAGATAGCTGCCAGGCAGCCATCTTGGATTTTTGATAGTCCAAGTTTGTTATTGCTATTTTTAAGAAGTACCTGACAGATCTTTCTCTCAAATTTCATATTTAGATTCTCTTGGTCCATAATAATGCAAGTTTTATTTTGAGACTGATCAAAAGAACAAGATGGCCAACAGGCAGTCATCATGGATTTTGACAGTTCAAGTTTGTTATCACTACTTTTCAAGAAGTACTTGGCAGATCTGTATTGTTCTTTATATATGTTACACTTAACTATTTAAGTTGTTAGGTAAAACAATGACCAAACTTTGAAAGGACACTGTCAAACCTAGCCATATAAAGTTTCAATCAAAGCTACCACTAAAATGCATTTACTGTTGACAATACTATCATTCCAATATATAAGAGATAAGAAGAGAAAAGATCAAAACTAATGAAGATCTTACGATGGTAGGCACCAATTTGCAAGATCCCTTCAGGATCACTTGTTTATTTTCAGTAAGTCTATATATTGTATTGCTGATCTAGCAGTGTTCATTTTGGCGGTAATAGGTAATTGCTGGATAACCTATATAAATACATTCATAAAACTAGGATACTCTGATGTAAGATGGTCACTGGTAAAGGTCATCTCCTGTGACTTCTGATTTGCTGAAATATGTATGGTTATAACTTTTGTTCTACGATTTTGTTCCTAATCTAAGATGGCCACCATGCCTTCAGATTGGCCGAGGCCTTTCAGACTAAAGTGCTATAACTTGTCTTCTGATTGCCCGGTCAATCAAAGATGATGGCAGCAATGCTGTTGTTTCTTCTACGTGGCAGATTTAGCGGGTCTCTGGCGGAGGCCTGGGGCTCTTACTGGCCTGTTAATGTTCTAGTATTATCAAATTGATTATATTTATAAATTATAAGTTTTTGCAGATATCAAGTAAATCATTTAGAATAATTTATTTACTTTTTTGGTTGATTTGGACTTTAAAATATACTAGTTTCGTATCATTACACTGTTCAAATAGATGTTGATTAGTTTTGCAGCCCCATAAGAACTTGTTAAACAAACATAAATGTTTTCTTGGCTGTTGTATAAATATTCATTGAAATATTTTAAAGTTTTCATAAGAAAGAGATAAGTGAAGAAATGTACTAGTAATGGGTGTAGATTAGAGCGAACTGTCTGTTATTTTATTTATATTTGTGTTGATCAACAGAGCATGAGGGGAAAATTGTCCAAATCAGAAGATTTGTTACACTCTGTTAACTCCCAACCACACAAATTCAATTATCTTTTCTGAAAGGCGTGTTCAATAAAAGGCTATATTATATACAGTGGGGCTGTGGCATAATGTTTATTTCCCTAAATTGTAGGTAGTAATTTCGCAGTATGATTAAATTTTTATCAGAGTGTCACACTGTAACTCGGATCAAATGAGCCGTGGATTTAATGAAGCCAGGGAATGTTTGTGGCAGGTATTACCAAATTCCTTGGAATCAAATAAAATGAGCCCCGTCTTGTGTATAAGCACTGGGCACACTCACCTACCGGTCTCTCTGGTTGATCTCTCCGGTCGGTGTGGACACACATCATTGGTGCCTGTCGGACCTGACCAGGGAGAAAAGTACCATTGTCATCAGTCACCAGCTGTATATATACGTATCTATTATTCTCTAGCAAGAAGTTTTCTTTAAGGTGTGGCTGTGTTAAGTGAATTGTGTATACCCCGGTATTTTTGTTTGGTTGAGTACATGGATTTTATTAAGAAATAACAAATCAGTTTTAAAATTAGTATAGATTTATGGTTAATGGTTATTAAACTGTGTTTTCTAAGTGTGCTTTGCTGAATAAAATTATGTGTTTAAAGTTTTGTTGTAACCTTTGAATTGTGGTCAACCTAAGCTTAATTAAAACTATGACAGATTTCATCAAATTAATGTATGGAAGACAATTTGTAGAAATCAGAAATTTAAATGTGAATATACATATGAATCTTTTCATTTAATCTAATATTTCTTTATGGCAGGCATTGATAAATTCAAGAAATCAGTAGCACCTGGTAATCAAGAAAAACCAGACCTTATACCTTTATAGTAATTATATAACCAATGATGTCAGTTTGTGTAAAAAAAATGAAAGAGGCTGATGGGAAAGCTTAAGCCTGTCATTTCTATATGAGGAATAATTGCATTAATAAAGGTGTCAAGTTTAAATATAAACTTGAACTGCCTAAGAGGTGTCAATTTATAGTTGAATCAAGGGATCAGCTTTTTATTTTTTTATTGTATATTGTTCCCTATTCCTACGTGGTGGATGGTGTATTTGAGAGATTATTTTCATTTTTTTGGTGAATGACTTTTATATAGAATTTGTAGTGGATAATTGTCTGTCAGTTGATCTATAGCTGATGAACCTATTTTTACTTATGGCCATGTGTAATGATATATAGATATAACATACACTTACACTTACATACACACATATATATATCTTAAAACCATAAAATTACAAACACCTTGGTATATAAATATACCATATGATTACACGCATATCTTAGTATATAAATATACCATATGATTACACGCATATCTTAGTATATAAATATACCATATGATTACACGCATATCTTAGTATATAAATATACCATACAAGTTCCCACTCACCTCAGTTTATAAATATAAGATGCATACAATATATAACCATACCATACAATTACCCACACACCTGATTATAGAAATTTGTGATAACATTATATGTATAGATCTCAATAGACTTTCCCAGTAATTATGCTTATCTGGTAGTTGTAATTTTATTGATTTTAAAATCCTACTTAGGAATAATTGTTTGTTAGAACTCTTGATAATTGTAAACTGGTAACAAAAACTTTCAAATCCAATATCTTACATATGAATCCCTCCTGTAAACAAATCCAATATCTTACACATGAATCTCTCCTGTAAACAATCCAATATCTTACACATGAATGCCTCCTGTAAACAATCCAATATCTTACACATGAATGCCTCCTGTAAGCAGTAGAACATTGCGAGTAAAATGATATTGGTTCAGACATGTTGCTTCATTGAAGCGAACGTCAATAGAATGGCATCAAGTAGACTCCACTTGATGGTAAGGTGTTTGAATGAAGACATTTGGAGAAGGACTGAGATCGTAAAGGGGTAGTCAATAGACAATTTCTATTGTGGACGGTTCTGTGATTATGACACCAATACGGGTTATACAGGAGCTTATCAGCAGGTCATGATCTACTACACGGGAACCTGTGGCCTGGAACCTGTGGCCGGGAACCTGTGGTCCTACACTTGGGTGTATTAAGGCACAACTAAAGGAGCCATAAAGGTGCTACAAAGTATCCACAAGTAGGGACTTACTGTCAGCACAACCTCCAGCTATGGACACACACTCTCTCAGATACTGCAAACATTAACAGCAGAGGAGGGAAATTTTACTTTAAAGTTT